AAGTATTATTATTATATTTCCTTGTTCATGATAATTGTCTTTTATTCATGCTATAACTGTATCATCCGGAAATCGTAATACACGTGTGAATACATAGACCACAATATGTCCCTAGTGAGCCTCTAGTTGACTAGCTCGTTGTGATCAACAGATAGTCATGGTTTCCTGGCTATGGACATTGGATGTCGTTGATAACGGGATCACATCATTAGGAGAATGATGTGATGGACAAGACCCAATCCTAAGCATAGCACAAAGATCGTGTAGTTCGTTTGCTAGAGCTTTGCCAATGTCAAGTATCTCTTCCTTTGACCATGAGATCGTGTAACTCCTGGATACCGTAGGAGTGCTTTGGGTGTATCAAACGTCACAACGTAACTGGGTGACTATAAAGGTGCACTACAGGTATCTCCGAAAGTATCTATTGTTTTATGCGGATCGAGACTGGGATTTGTCACTCCGTGTAAACGGAGAGGTGTCTCTGGGCCCACTCGGTAGGACATCATCATATGCGCAATGTGACCAAGGAGTTGATCACGGGATGATGTGTTACGGAACGAGTAAAGTGACTTGCCGGTAACGAGATTGAACAAGGTATCGGTATACCGACGATCGAATCTCGGGCAAGTAAAATACCGCTAGACAAAGGGAATTGTATACGGGATCGATTGAGTCCTTGACATCGTGGTTCATCCGATGAGATCATCGTGGAACATATGGGAGCCAACATGGGTATCCAGATCCCACTGTTGGTTATTGACCGGAGAACGTCTCGGTCATGTCTGCATGTCTCCCGAACCCGTAGGGTCTACACACTTAAGGTTCGATGACGCTAGGGTTATAAAGGAAGCTTGTATATGGTTACCGAATGTTGTTCGGAGTCCCGGATGAGATCCCGGACGTCACGAGGAGTTCCGGAATGGTCCGGAGGTAAAGATTTATATATAGGAAGTCCTGTTTCGGCCATCGGGACAAGTTTCGGGGTCATCGGTATTGTACCGGGACCACCGGAAGGGTCCCGGGGGCCCACCGGGTGGGGCCACCTGCCCCGGGGGGCCACATGGGCTGTAGGGGGTGCGCCTTGGCCTACATGGGCCAAGGGCACCAGCCCCAAGAGGCCCATGCGCCTGGGGAAACCCTAAAGGAAGAGTCCCAGCAGGGGAAGGCACCTCCTAGGTGCCTTGAGGGGGGGGGGGAGGACTCCTCCCCTGGCCGCCGCCCCCTTGGAGATTGGATCTCCTAGGGGCTGGCGCACCCCCCCCTTGGGATCCCTATATATAGTGGGGTAGGAGGGCCTCCCAAACACACCTTATGCCTTTGGTGCAGCCCCTCCCTCTCTCCCAAGTTCTTCTCCTCTCCTGTGGTGCTTGGCGAAGCCCTGCGGGATTGCCACGCTCCTCCATCACCACCACGCCGTTGTGCTGCTGTTGGATGGAGTCTTCCTCAACCTCTCCCTCCCTCCTTGCTGGATCAAGGCGTGGGAGACGTCACCGGGCTGTACGTGTGTTGAACGCGGAGGTGCCGTCCGTTCGGCACTTGATCATCGGTGATTTGAATCACGACAAGTACGACTCCATCAACCCCGTTCACTTGAACGCTTCCGCTTAGCGATCTACAAGGGTATGTAGATGCACTCCCCTTTCTACTCGTTGCTGGTCTCTCCATAGATAGATCTTGGTGTTACGTAGGAAATTTTTTGAATTTCTGCTACGTTCCCCAACACGGAGTTCATCATCTACACCGACCAGAAAAGTCTCACACACTTAGAAGAACAGTGACTGAATACCCCATGGCAGCAGAAAGCTTTTACCAAGCTTCTGGGTCTCAGGTATCACATTAAGTACAAGAAAGGAGCTGAAAACAACGGCGCCGATGCGTTATCGCGCGCCAACCAAACAGAAGTTCTTGCCTTGGTCACATCGTGTCAACCCAGTTGGCTGGAAGACGTGCTCAGCAGCTATAACAGCAACCCCCATGCTCAGAAACTTTTGGAACAATTAGCCGTGCGCGATGATCCCAAGGGCAGGTTTCAGCTACAACAAGGTATTATTCGGTTCAGAGGAAGAATTTGGCTGGGAGGAGGAACGCAAATACAACAGCGAATCATGCAAGCTTTCCATGATAGCCCAGTCGGGGGTCACTCAGGGTTTCCGGTGACTTACAGACGTATCAGACATCTTTTCGCGTGGCCCAAGATGAAGATACAAGTTAAACATTATGTGCAGTGCTGTGCAGTGTGTCAGCAAGCCAAACTAGACAGAGCGGCTTCACCTGGGCTCTTGTTGCCCTTGCCAATCCCTACCAAGCCCTGGGACATGATCTCCATGGATTTCATGGAGGGTCTTCCCCAATCTAGCCGTTTCAACTGCCTGTTGGTGATCGTCGATAAAAGGACCAAATTCAGCTACTTTTTGCCCCTAGCCCATCCTTATACAGCAGCATCGGTGGCCCAGCTCTTCATCCAACAAGTTTACAAGGTTCATGGCCTTCCAGGAGCTATTGTGTCAGATCGTGACCCAGTTTTCACCAGTCATTTTTGGCAGGAGTTGTTCAAGGCCGCAGGCACTCAGCTCAGGCTCAGTACAACCAATCACCCGCAGACAGATGGCCAAACCGAACGGGTTAATCAGTGTGTGGAAACGTTCTTACGATGTTTCACACAAGCATGCCCAAGACGGTGGAGTTTCTGGATTCCGCTAGCTCAATTCTGGTACAACAACTCTCATCACTCGGCTATAGGGATGACGCCATTCAAAGCCATGTTTGGGTACGAGCCGAGGCACTGGGGGATCACAGCCGAGAACACCTGTTCGGTGCCAGCACTCAAGGCGTGGATCGAGGAAAGGGATACCGTGCAAGAACTGTTGCAGCAACATCTGAACAGAGCAAGGCAGGTGATGAAGAGTCAGGCAGATAAGAAGCGCTCGTTTCGTACATTCAAAGTTGGTGATCAAGTGTTCCTGCAGCTGCAACCCTACATCCAAACCTCCGTCGCGCCAAGAGCAAATCACAAGCTGGCGTACAAGTACTACGGCCCGTTTCCGATCATTGCCAAGAGCAATGACGTCGCGTACAAGCTTCAGCTCCCTCCACAAGCAACGATTCACCCAGTGTTTCACGTTTCTCTGCTACGCCGCGTGCTGCACTCGGGTATGATGGTCGAATCTCAATTGCCTTAGTGTGCTGACGAACTTGCAGTTCCTGTAGCCATTCTTCAGTCAAGATGGAGGCTCTCGAAGGGCAAGATGCGCGAACAGGTTCGCGTACGTTGGTCCAATTCGGAGGTGCTGGGCGACACGTGGGAGGACAAGGCCAGTCTCCAGGAGCGCTTCCCGCTAGCTGAGGCTTGGGGTCAAGCCTCTACTCAAGAAGAGGGGGATGTCAACGCCCCTGACCCACCAAGGCCACGAGTCAGCAACGACAGCGACCACGTCACCCACGCGCCACGGTCGTCAAGGCCCAGGAAGCCCAACCCGCGCGTCTTCGGGCCCACGTGGGCTAACTGAAGCCCACTGGCGCAGCTACTTGAAGGAGGAGGCGAGACGACATCGGCATCCAGTGGATCAACGAACCGGCGGCGGCTACCTACCTCCTTCTCTCCCTCTCGAACCCTAGTTCTTCGTTCCCCATTCGAGCGCCGCTCCCTTGTACTGGATCTGTAATAGCTACTACTTCAGAGAGCATAGATCGATCCCGTACTGCTACCTTATCATGCGGGAACAATCGTCTGTGAAGCAATTTTTAGTAGATAATGAAGGATAATCAAATGATGACCACACGATGTTACTAATTGCTGCTCTAATAGGTTAGCGTACGTGACCTTTGCCTGTCCAACTGGGTTTGCACCATTCCTTCCACCCACAGGAAGGCGAAAAGTAGAAGAGGGAAAACAGCAATCTAAAAAAAAAGGTAGTAGAAGAGGGAAAAAGGAGAAGTGGGGACGGAAGGAGCTCCAAGGTGGAATCCATTCCATCCTGAGACCCGAAATCCATCCATCACGCCCTTGGCCTTGGCAGCCGCAGCAGACGACTCGCCTACTCTGCGCCTGCCTGAGCCGGGGACGGGGAAGAAGGAGAGGAGGGAGCCGCTGACGGAGTGGGAACAAGGTGAGCCCCGACCCCGATCTCTGTCACCGCCGTCGTCGCTCTTCGCTTCGGGCTGCTGGTTTCTCCACCCTTCTCAGCCCGCCTACTCTTCTTCTTGCTTGCTTCCCTGCTACTAACACTGCCGCCGCCGCCGCCCCCGCCCCCGCCCCCAATCCCCATATCCAACTCAAAATTGTCCATCGTATGCTGCTCGTCTAAACACGATCAAACCATCACCGTCCCCCGATTTCCGTT